AAATTTTCGGACCAGTAAGATCTATGGAGAACAATGAACAGGTACGTCTCCAAAATGACTTTCAAACACACGTAGTAAAGTTCTGGCTGGGCTTTCAGAGCCGCTCTGATCCCACCGCTATGGATGAATTCTTACCACCTGACTCACTATCTCCATCTGCTGCAGCACTTTCTGCGCCTGAGCATCCTCTGCGAGATCTTGCTGAGAATACAACTTCAGATGGACAGGTAGAAGTGCTAGTTCTGGTTTTGACTTTGAGGGTTAAATTATACGTTCCAGGATATCTTTGGCAATACACATCCCACTAGCTTCGGTTACGACTTATCTATAGATGAAACAAGCCTTTTATACCATTGAATCAAAATATCGTTTCTTTTACCAATACTTATGATTACCTTGGCTCACTGTATTCCAATTATTAGGTGGCTGTTGAAAGTGTTCCACTGCTATGTACATATATTTTTACGTTTAACAAATGTTAGGTGAAGATTACCTGTGCTCATAATCGGTGTACATATTATCTCTATTTATTTTAATTGTTATTTATATGTTTTAAATATAAGTATGAATAAATTATAACATTGTTCTGTGATTTGGAACATGTTCATTTTACTTAATGCCCATTTCCATCCAAACCAAAAAAATAATTCCACATTTCGCTGTAGTACTATTTCTACTAGAGCACAGTGGTTCAAAGTGGAAATGTGAACAGTAAGAATTGCGCATTTTTCGTAAAGTCATTATATAATATCATACAGAAGACAAAAATTTAAATTACCTATTCGAAGAGTGTTTTGATAGCGAAGAGTATCAATTTCAGAAATATAAGATGTTCAATTATATAATTCTTGTAAGATAAGCTAATACTTTTGGTTGCACTGATGCAAATTGTGTCTTAAATTCGTGGCTTCTGGAGTTATTTGAACTGTCGATTGCATGATAATAATCTCAAGCGCTTTGTTCACTAAATTACAAATTGGATCACACCAGTTGTTAGTTGTAAGATCACAATTAGCTTATTTTTTGAAATCGTGCATTGGCTTAAAAACGAAATGCCACGGTCTTTTTTAGCTTGACTTTTCACTGTCACATTGTATGAGAAGCTGCTTACAGTTCATGAGCGAGATTTGACT